ACACACACACACACACACACACACACACACACACACACACACACACACAATCTCAGTGTTCTTCTAAATACATAGTAAGAGATATAAGAATTCCTCTGGGAAATAAAATTGGTGACAACATAGAGAAACCAAACATGTAGCCATTCTTGAACATGCAAGTATTCCTCCTGTATTTTACCTATAACATAACCCAATTTCAAATCCACAGAGAAATGAACATTGTCTTTATCAGATCCATAAGCATATTCACAGATTTCTTCTAAATTTGCCATGATAAACTCTCAAGTTTGAATTTTCAAAAGTTCTGGAAAAATGTTAAAAAATGACTTGCACACATCATATCTCAAAGGTAAACTCATAAACATAGGATATCACATCCTATAAATACATTCACGTGTTACTTTGACTTCTGATATTCTGAACAGTTTCAGACACATCATCAGTCACACATGTAAATGCACACATTTTCTTCTCACTCTCAATTTCAAAAACATGAAGTTAAACAATTTCCCAAGTAATGTCCTAAAACACATACAGAAAAGCATCCATGTTCTGGGAATTGTACCGTGCCCCAGGTTGTCAGGAATAACATTGTAATATAATCATTGACCTGCAAAGGAGCAGGTCATGGCCTCACATGGGCAAATATGCTCAAAGACTCTGAATACATAATAAACATTACAGAACTATCACATGAGTTGCACACAATCCTTTTGATCAACTACTACACACTAGGCTTGATTTTCACCACACTCTTGCATCCACCAGAAGCCAGTCATGCTATGACAACTTCAGTCTCAGTTAGAGCCTCTTATGAAATTCTGCAATGGCATCAAGAGCACTGATGACTATAGGGAGAATCTGGATGCTGATAGATGTGCTTACTTCCATAAGGATAAGTACACCAAGCAGACGGTCTGTCAGACCTTCTATCACTGTGCAATGAAAGGAGCTACTGTTTAGCAGAACTGCACACGGATTTTCAAGCACAGCAGACATTTCCCTCAAGCTTCTCCCTTCTTGAGGCTGTGAGAGATATTGGAGGGGCCATGCCTGCAGGCTTACAACACATTATTACCCTGCATCCTCTACTAGAAGGCCAACGATCCCACCGAAAAATGAGATCGCAGGGCTATGGCACTCGCCAGGACCCATGGTGCACAAACTGCCAGGTAGCTGGCCGGGATCAAAGGATACCGAGTCCCACAGGACACAGGCTACTGCCACCACGCATGGACACAGACAGGGATGCTAAAGGCTCACAGGCTGCTGACACCACGCAGACATGGGGTGCTAAAGCCCCAGGGCAGAACACTGCAGCAGCCCACTCACTAGCTCAGGAAGACTGAGCCCTGAGCTGCTATTACAAGTGTTTTTGTTAACAGATTGGACATCACCATCGGAATGACGTCATCCATGCTCGCGCCTGCACATAACGTTCCCCAGTGAGGGGCCAGGCTCGCGCCTGCGCATCTCCACCAGGAAGTTGACAGTTGAAGGTGAAGCATCAGAGCGCCTCCTTAGGCGCATGCGCAGCCCTCGTGGAGCCATGTCACAGCTCACCTGGAGGCCCCTCCCAGAACGTGGGTTGTCACCCTTCCTTAAAACAGCCGGTCACACGTGCACACTCCTGATTTCCAAACTCACCAACCTGAGACCTCTGCACTGCACACTACCCAACACCAAATTCCTCTTAAGACCCCTCTGGCACAGAGTTTCAGACCTGGGCCACACTGTGTCCTAGAGCTTTTCATACTACAGCTTTGCTCTGCTATGTACATCTCCTCCACACAGAGATTCCCCAGTAACTGTGGATGCTCTCACAGTTTAGTGACAGCTTTCCTCAATTTGAAAGCTTGCCAAATGTTGGTTGGTTTCATGTGGTATGGGGCACCTTTTAATTGCTCTCATTCCAAATCTCTCTTTCCTTTCCTCCCCTTTACCCTCTCGCTCCCTCCCTCTCTGAGACATACTGCAAAATTTCAGTCAGAAACGTGAAAGAAAAACACCTGTCCTGAGTTATTAACCCTTTCAACACCAGCACTCCCCTGTCAGGGCCCTGCAGATTCCTCTGATTTCTCATCCCACGGGCAGCAGCAACATCCTCAAGCTATCCCCAGCAAGGTATGCCCACGGCAAAGCTCCAAGGACAAAATAGAGCCTCTTACTATCGCTAGTCCCCTCTGAGAGGGCAGAGGGGCTCTGTCTTCTGAAACTCGGTGATGCTTCTCCACCAGTGCATTGTCACTGGCGTTTCCTTCCTGGCACTCAACATGGCTCAAGGCCTTGCCTCTCCATGCAGTGATCTCACTAGTTATAGCTGAAATAATTTCATTACATCTGCACATCTCTACCCCAAGTACGGTCTAGAGAGACTTGTACAGGGAAGCGGACAAGCAGAGCAGAAAGGTAGATACATATAAGAAAGCAATTATTCATGGGACAGAAAACTGAAGCCTACACGTAGGTATGCAGAGGGGGCAGAGGGCAGCCGCTGTGTGTCCTCACCCCTGCCACTGTGACCAAACACCATGCAGGCGTTTGATGGAAATATGCACAGTTCCATGCAGAAATATAGGTGGAGGCTGGAAAAGTGGCTACCATGCACTCAGTAGTAGAGTGCTTGCCTTGCATGCATGAGGCCCTGGGTTTGATTCCCCAGCACCACATAAGCAAAAAATAAAAAAAGCTGGAAGTGGCATTGTGGATCAAGTGGTAGAGTGCTAGCCTTGAGCTGAAGAGCTGAGGGACAGCACCCAGACCCAGATTTCAGGCCCCATGACCGGACCCCCACCCCGAAAAAAATATAGGTGGTAGGATATTGGAGAAGCATTGAGACATTGAGCCACACCAGTGTCCCTAACCAGGGAGACTCACGCCCCCCCCAAACCTCCCCCCCACACCTGGCCGCGTTGGACTTGAGATGCTCTGTCTTCCATTCCTGCCTGGCCCCTGTCATTCTTCATACAACACCCATTTTGGTCAAAATATCTCAGCCAACAGTGTTCTGTTTCCAAGAAAGGTCACAAAGTGGAACAGTCCTTCTGGACTTTTCTTCCCTTCCCATCTGTAGGATGCCAGCAAGGAGTGAAGTCCATCATGTGGCAGACATTTTCCTTTGGGATTCTTCCTCATACTCATCCTATATCTCGTAGTGCATTTTCTACCAATGTCTTTTGGTCTTGGCATAAACTATGAGTATTAAAATTCCTGTGATTTGGACATTGAAGAACTGCAATTGTCACAATATGAAAATGAGAAAACAAATTTTTAAGAGATTGGTTAAAACAATGACTCTACAGATATACTCACAATTGGTGCTTAACTGATTCCAAGACAAGTCTTAAAACCCTACTTTATCACAAACTCACACTTCCAATTCATAGTTACTCTTCTATGGAAACAAAAATCTGTAACCTGGGTGAACCTACATGAAATATTATCAGACCCTCACATTAAACCAAACTTGAACAAAAATCGTCGTTTTCCCCTTTGTATTTGCCAGAAATAGGACTGGAACTTAGGGCCTGGGTAGTGTCTGTGAGTGTCTTTTTCCTTTACCACATGAGACACTGTCCAAGGCTCACTTTTTGAAGTAGTTTATTTGAGATAAGAGTCTTACCGACATTCTGCCTTGGATTGCTTTGAACTTTGATCCTGACATACTAGCCATCTGACTAGTTTGGACTACAGGCCTAAGTCACCAGCAACTGGCCACAAAATCATTTTAACCTTAAAGGTGTCAATGGTATGAACACATGGGCATTGTCTAGACATGATAGGAGGACAAGGACAAAACATATTTAGAAATAGAGATGTATGATTCCCTGCTGCAGAGACCATCAAATATGTACCCCGAAGTCATATGGCTGTGAAAGGTGTGGTTAGCTGTCCCAGCAGCACTTCAGGACAGAAGATGATGAGAGAAGCACTAGCTCAGCTAAAGATCAAAACACAAAAGCTTCACCTATGTGTCTTACTGGATCTGTGTGGCTCTACCATCATCTTAGTGTGAAAACTAACAACAAAGAATACAACTTGATGCCCAAGACAAGACATCAAGTCATTAATATCACCCATGCAACAAAGAAACCAGATTCCAAAGAACAAGTGGATGTGATAGAGACAAGCCATTGGGAATCCAGTGAGCAGTGTGGCCAGGATCCCAGGGGACAGCACTCACTACCATGTGGAGGACACAGAGGAATGAATACTAGGGATCGGTGGGTGGAAGCCTGAATCTTCTCAAACTACACAGACAAAAGAAGGATAGAGAATTTCTAATGTTTGCATAAAAATGAAAAGAGAAATATGAAGCACCTTTACCATAGGGCGAGAGTAGGTTTTCTGCCTCCCTATTTCTCACAGCCTTCTCTATGGCTATGAAGTCTAGAGGCTACCATGGATATTTCATATTTGAAATCATCTTTAGCCAGAATTATGTGTGGGTATGGACGATGTATACACATTACATATACATACAAATTATATAAACACATGATGTACACATGCAAATAGACACATGCATTGGCAAACCTGAGCTTAAAGACCGAGCGTATGAAACCGTTGAAATGGTTAAAGAATCTACTTATGCAGAAGGAAATCGGGTGGGATGAAGGAAAGAAAACCAGGCTTATGGATGAAGACATGAAGGAAGAAAACATCAGCAAAACCATTGGCCTCTGCATGTGATAGAGAATATCAAAGTTGCCTGGGCACCCACCAGTCATCTTGCCTCTGTATTATTATTTAAAGGGAACTGAGGTTCTGGTCCTCCTGCCACAGCCCTTAATGGAATGTCTGTCAACTCCCCACCCAGCCCTCCTGGGTCTCTGCCCCTCCCCCACTGTAGAATGCCTTGACCCCCACATTCTACTGCTATTTACATTTAAACTTTCCCCAGTTGTAGTTGGACCCTGAGAAGCAACTGGAGCCACGTTGCTCTCTGGGTTCTCCACTTGACTTTCCTGCCTTCGAAGGCTGCCAGAGAGCTGTGGGCGATGTCCAACCCTGTGGGGATGGCTTCAGATGGAGGTAAGCCTGAAGGGCAGGGCCAGAATCTCTAAGCCCCAGCTATCCCTGAAAGGTTTCTGGAGTTTCAGTTTGCCACCATGCTCCCACCTTGAGTTATTGAGCTGTAGCTTACTAGCATAGCACTGAACTTTCCCAAGATCATCTAGATGACTCAGGAAAGTATGACAATTTGGAGATGGCTCCCAAGGGAGTCATCATAAGGACCCTAGGAATATGGGCTCTTAGACGAGGCTGCAGATCATTCCACTGGCCACAGGCCAGACCTGCTGGTCTCTTCCTATCCATAGGGGACTTCTATGCTAGTCCAGGTAACTCATGCCATTCATTGCAAAGGGACAGGGCAGCCTGGACACTTCAACTGACACACAACTTGGGTTGGACACACTTGGGGACTGTCATCCCTTTGGTACAAAGAAGCCTTCCGATTTTCTGTTTTGTCAACAATCTCTGCCTTTTAATGTGTGTGGACATGAAGGCTGGGCCCATCTCCTCCATCTGGTATTTCATGAATAGGGAACTGATATGGACTGCTGCCGACTTTCCTTTTGTAGATTCTAGGGTTGTCTTTCTGAAGAGGTCAGAGGGAGCACTACTGAGTGGGGAGGACATTCTGCTGTTACTCATGTCATTCAAGTTACAGCAGGTGACCTTGTGGTTAGGTGTAGGACCTGAGCACCTAATTTCTTTCACAGAGGCTACATGAGGGCATTCAGAACATGCTGCATTGTAGACCACTGTTGACCCTGTGTATTTGCTTCATGCCTGGATCCCTGTTACCCAATCCATGATAGAACTGAGGGCAAAATAGAAGTGACACATTTCTGATGTGACAAAGTGACTATGAAAATCTCTAGACTCTCCCGTTATTGACTCACTACTCCCCATTCCCTGAGCATTCTGGTCCTCTGCAGCCATGCCTGGCTGTGCAAGGACAAGATATCAGCCACACCAATGGTTCTGTGAAGGAAGGGACAAGCAATTACATAGGAAAGGCCTGGTGAGAAGCCTCTTCCCTTACTGTTAATCCAGGAAGGTGCTAATGTGAAGTGGGTTGTGGGTTGTGTTATGAGGATAACTCTAGACTTCCTAAGCTGCTAGGTGAGAGAGATTTCATTCAGAGCTTTTGTTTCTGGTGAGAGACAAAAGGAGAGGTTTATGTAGAGCATCAGGAAAAGGAAGGCTGAGGAGCTAAAGGGCCAGCTTTTGAATATGATAACTCCCTAGAGAGGACTGGGGCGTAGCACTGCCGATGGACAGGGTCTTCTGCACAACAGCAAGCTTGCTGAGTGGATCATGCTGTGAAACAGGGGCAAATTAACCCCTTTCTAGGAAACGGGCTTCAGGGACATGGGCTGTCTGCCTAGGATGCCTGAAGGAGACCCACAGAAGCACAAGAAGCTGAGGGGTTAATCTCAGCACACACAGGTAGGTGCAGGAGTGTTGTAGAACAGGAGCAAGTCCTCGGCAGGATTAATCCTCAAAGAGAGACACACCATGGCATTCACTTGGGGACATCTGTGAAACACTATTTCCCACTGCAAGCCCTGACTTGCTGTCCTTCCTCCTTACTCCTCCGTATTTCCAAGTCCTAGGGAGCCCCTCTGCGGTGCTCTGTATCTCTTCAATGAACACTGCTCTCTCTCCAGCAGCGTGTCCAGCGTCTGCAGCCTACCTGAGCCTGAACCCCGTTGCTTCCAGAGCTCCTCTCACAGAGCTGCCCTTCCACACAGCCGCCCCAGAACCAGCACAAGGGTCATTGAGGAAGCAGCCTTCCTGTCCACCTCCAACAGTGGCTGCTGCACTCCCTCCTCAGGGGAGCCCTCTGGTGCTGCCTGCTTTCCCCAGCACATCTCTGGTGTCAGGGGGAAGCTGCAAATCCAGTGGGGCAGGCTCCTCCCATGTCATTGTGGAAATGGGGACAGGAGGAAGGCCAGCAGTGCCCCTCCACACTCCAAAAGTAATTGTCACTCAGGCCCCTCTCATCTGGAATGTCCCTCCTGGGGATGTGGGATCCATGGGCCCAGCTCCACTCCTCTTGCCTGGTGCTGCCAGCAGTGCTCCAGTGAGTGTCCCCATGACTGGATGTAGACAGGCTGCCCAAGACAGCTTGACCTGGGGCCCACCCCTGGGATCAACACCACCAGTTTCCCAGGAGGCTCCCATCAGGCCCCCAGTGAGCCAGCAGGCACCGTGGCCACAGAGGCCCTGTGCAGAGGGCAGTCGGCCCACATCCCAGACCAAGCCTCCACCTCCCAGTGTCTATCAGAACTTTCAGCGCTGGCAACAGTTGAAGGCCTTGATCCAGAATAAACTTCCACAGACTCCTGATGGGGAAGCACTTGCCTGCTTCTTCATGTGAGTGTCTCCTCTGGGAACCTAGATCTCCTGCTGGGGCTCCTGCATGGGAATCCACACCACAAGGGCAGGGAAATCCTGAAGCTGATCACACCTGTAGAGAAAAACCACACACAGACATAGGAATGTCACACAGGTGCAAGAAAAGCTCCTTCCCTTTGCAGCATGGTACCCCTGTAAGTGTGGCCATTTTACTTTTCCAGAAGGATTAGCACTGTAGAAAGGCCCACATTCCCAAAGAGCACCTGCTATGAAGGGGGCCACAATTTGGCTTTCTGCTCAAGACCATACTGGGCTTGTGCCGCTCAGTTTAGGCCTCACCCATACTTGTGGAACTGGAAATTGAAACCATTCCTTGCTAACAGTCTGAAGGATGGAATTCTCTGATTCTGGGATGGAAGATTCCATGTCTGGAGATGGCTCTCCTCATGGCTGCCTTGTGTGTGTCATGCAGGGCTGAGAGATAGCTTTGGCTGCTCTTCCTGTCTGTCTCTCCAAGGCCACTGTCCTGTCCTGGCAAAGAATGCCATCTCCATAACTGTACCTAAGCTAGGCTGGCCAAAGGCAATGTCTCCCAATAGCTTCACTGGGGAATAAGGCTTCAGAGTATGTCAATTCTGAAGAACAGAGTATTTCAGTCTAGAATGTTCACTAATGGAAAGCACTCACAGGAACATGGGGAAGGCCAGCAGTGCCCTTGCTACTGATTTCTGTGGTCCATAAGGGTGACCTGGAGATAAGAGCCCACATTGGAGCTGGACATGTAGGCAGCAAGGGTGAGGAGCACAGGGTTTGGGTCCACTGGGAATGGAGGGTCACCTGTGGGCTCTGGGCTGTGGGCTGTGACTGATCCTGATGAATTGCAGCCCAGTGCTTCGGTCCCTGGCCCGGCTCAAGCCCACCATGTCCCTGGACGAGGGCCTGTGGAGAGGCCTTCAGGAGTGGGAAGGCATTAGCAATTACGAGCGCATGAACTTTCACGAGATGGCGGCCAAGTGAGTGAGGGACCCTGGAGCTGGGGTTTGTGTGGTGGAGGAGGACAGAGACTGCACGCCTGGGCCCAGTGGGGCTCATCACTCCCACTGCCAGGAAGGGCATGGACATGCACAGAAGATGCCCTTCTCCTGACAGCCTTCTGTCCAGGCAGTGGCATAGTCTCTCTGAGGTGCGGGCTGAGCTCTGAGTTGGGGGCCCTCACAAACTCCTGCCTCACTGATGCCTGCTCCACACCTGCCAGGGGGCGGAGGGTCAGACCCGGTGCGGAAATCAGCCAACAACTGGTCCCTTCCAACATGGGCAGTTGTGCAAAGACAAAGTTGCTCCAGGTTCATGACACTTTAGGGCCCATGCCTGCTCTAGGAACCCAAGGTTTTAATTTCATCTTTGTTCTCTCCATCAATCACCCATCCTGATCAGCTTCTGTCAGTCACCTCCTCAATTAGGGGCAGGGATGGAATAGGCTTAGAAGATGGGTCACTGAAGGCCCTTCCTGGGTCACTTGTTTCCACACAAGTCTTGGGCGATCTAAAGTCTCCCTGACATTTGCGTTTTTTAAAAATATTATTTATTGCTATTATACGTGTGTTATTTAGAGTGGTTCAGTCATGTGCACCATGTGAAGAGTGCGCTTCTTTGGGCAGTGTCACTCCTTCCTGCACTGACAGCTTGTTTTCATCCTTTATCAGCAACCTTCTGCGCCTAGGCAAGAACCTCAGAGTACTGCTTGCACACCTTCTATGTCCTCCTTCTGGGAAGCGTCCATGGGGCTCATCTCCTCTCAGCTCACTCTGTGCCTCCTACATTCCCAGGTTCATGGAATTTGAGACTATGGAGGTGATAGAGAATTCAAAGTTGCAGGGCATTATGCATTTCCAAGGCCCGCCTCCTGCCATCCCACTGAAGCCAGATTCTCCAAGGCCCTCATCCCTCGACATTCTCCAGCGGCCAGGTAGAGTCTCTCAATGTTCTATTGGAGTCCATGGCATGAAGTGGCTGATGGGATCTTGAAGGGTTTACCCACACGCAGGGCTTCTGTTTTCGATGGAGGAGCTCCTCTTGCAATGGAAACAAAGCATCCCTCCAGAACCTGAGGTTTCTGGAGGAATAGTTAGCATGGAACTGGTTATCATAGGGCCATGTCTATAGCTCCTCTCAGCACAAGCACCTTGGACAACACCTACTCAGGATCAGCAATGGGATGGGCAGAGCACCAGAACGTCAGTTTCTCAGAATTTGGTACTGCATGGCTGTATTATATATTCCACATGTTGCAGTCTCTTCTGGCTCCATTGTCTATGCTGGTCTTGGGCTGGTGTAGCGCTAGTAAACTCTGCTGCTCAGCCATCGTGTGGAAGCTCTTCTCCCATCCTTGCTTTGTCTTGTTTCCTCTCCCTTAGAGGGCAACTCCAGCAAGACTGGCCTCAAGGCTCAGCCTGCCAAGCCATCAGCACCCACAGGTCAGAGGCCGCCAGAGACCAAGGCACCCGAGGAGATCCCAGCTGAAGCCGTGGAGGAGTACATGGCCATCATGGACTGGCTGGAGGGCCTTCCTCAATTGTGCACCCAGGACTCTGGGGGAACATCCAAAGAGGCGGGAATGGAACAACAGGATGTGGAAGACATGTGCTCAGATCCAGAGCTCCTGAGTCTCCTTGACCAGCTGTGCTGCCAGGAGGACTTCATGTCAAATGTGGGCTCCAACTCCAGCCCTGTTCTCTGCCACTTTCCCTCTCCCTTGAAATGGACCTTGATTCCCTGGATGCTCAGGACTGTGTGTGTGTGTGTGTGTATGTACCAGGTTGGGGAGGTCATTCTTTCCTGTGTTCTCAAAGTCCCCTTGGCACAGATTTCTCCTTTCTAGACACACTGACACCCTCTTCCTTCTGCTCCAGGTGGAGGCCATCATTCACCCCACATTCCTGGAAGAATTGCTTTCCTCCAAACCAGAGCTGGATCTTGAAGCCCTAATTGAGGAGCTGGAACAGGAAGAAGGACTCACCCCTGAGCAGGTTGGCACAGGAAAGACTGTAGGCAGGTAGATCAGGAGGGGAAGAAAGGCCGCACAACCAAAAGAAGGAGCACTGCCTTAGGCTTGTGGGCAGTCATGGCTTTGGAGGTTATTCCTGATGGTAGATGTGGATGTGGACTAGAAGGAAGGACCCAGGAGAGCCAGGGAGGGGCTGAGCTTGTACAGCTGCAAAGAGACCCAGTGGGGAGCTGACAAGCACAAGTGTGTGTGTCTGCAACCAAGAGAGGTGACCCTGAAGTTGTTCCCTCTACTGTGTCCTTTTCCAGCCAGATGCAAAGCCAGTAACTCTGTATTTCCTCCAACAGATAGTGGAGAAACGTCTTGGGGCACCCAGAGTAGCCTCAAGTGTTTCTGAGTTGGCCATCTGCCAAGGTGCAGAGAGAAATGAGCAGAGCCCCCAACAAGCAGTCAGTGCAGATACCAGCACTCTGCACATCGTTTGCAGAGATGATCAGAGCCATGGTGGCACAGATGCAGAGCACCTGACACCTGCTTCTGCTGCTGCTGCTGCTGCTGCTCTTCAGGGGGGTCACGGGTGTCCTTCACTAGGAACCACTTTGTCCACTGCTTGTCCCCGGGGACATGGATCCTATCCCAAGAGACTGGGGTCTGTAGATGCCGTGAATCACATGGAAAAGTCTCCTGCTGGCACTCCACGCAAGCGAGCAGGGCACAGTAAGTTGGGCAAGGGATGTGTCCCCAGCCTGGCTTCCTTGCTGGGCTCTGAGTACTGTCTCCTGCCCTGGGGACTATCTCAGAGCCCCAGGTCTCCCACCACCTTCCTCTCCTCTGGACACCAAGCCCCCGGGCCTTCACTGTGCAAAAGAAGAGGCCGCAGCCTGGATCCCCCTCCACCTGCCAAGTCCAAGAAAAGGGCTCGCATTGGAGACTCATGCACCCCAGCAAAGAATCCTTGCCCAGGGTCTCACTCTGAGGAGTCTGCAAAGCAGGTCTTGTCTTTGGGGCTGGTTCAGCCCTCACAGCCTCAGAAGAGAAAGCGTGAGTTGTTGGAGGTCCAGAGGAAGAAGAGGAAGAAGAAAAATCCTTGAAGCCAGTTGGGACCTGAGTGAGATCTCACCTGGCTTGCATTGTGCAATGGACTAAGCAAAAGCTCTTCCTCACTCAGTGCTGATCCAGGGGTCCTCGAGGGAAGGGGGAGGGTAGTGGTACTGAGGGGAAAGAGTGGAGGGAGAATTAGTAAAGTGGGGGAGGACAGGGAGGGAGATTTACATGGGGGGGGCTATGTAATTGTGCAGAATAAAGATAGTTTGTTTAGAATGTGTCCCGGTGAACTTGGTTCTCTGCTGTCCACGGAATGAGGTGGGTGAGCAGGGAAAGAGGTAGAGTTGTCAGGATCTGCAGTCCACACATTTCTCCTGCAGTTCTTCCACATGGATCAGTCCATTGCTCCTGGGAGCAGACAGACTGGAATCTCACTGTGATCCTTGTTCCTATTCATCTCACAAGGCCTCACCCATCATAAGAGATCCCTTTGTGCACATCATTACAAACATCTAGTAGGGAAGTCTATTTTGTGATTTCCACTTTCTTGCTCTTCTTAGGTTCTCTGGAATTGATGGAGATGGTCTTCTTTTTACTGAGCCTCTTTTTAAGGCCATCATCATGCCCATGGCTGAATTTCTCAAGTAGCCAGGGTCTTCTCCAGTGAGTGGCCCTGGGGGAAATCAAGTGTAGGCCCCTGGGGCCTGGGGGATCTTCAGCTGACAGCCCCAGCAAGGACTCCCCCATTCATGCAGATGCCATGCTCTCTGGCAGTGACGCAGGGGACCTGCTCTTGGGGATGCCTTTTGGTGGCTGTCCTTTCATTGTCACTCAGAATAGCTAGAGGTTGTCCTGGTCTATGCACTCTGAGCAGGATTGCTGAGAGTGCTTGGTTTGGGGAAACTTGGCCATGGTTTCTCAGTCTGGACATGTAGCTGCAAATGGTCCTCACCTGCCAGAGCTCTGCCAACCATTGGCCATCGCTTGGCACATGTTCCACAAGTCTCAGAGCAAAGCGAAAAATGTGTCAGGGCTCATTCTCAGAACTGACAACAGCGGTTGCTGAAAATCAGCATCACACTTCTATAGGTTCCATGTGGGGATTCTGTGTCAAAGTGAGAGAATATCTTCATTTGGCATGTTCACCGCACAGATTGTTTCTCTCTGTAGACAAGGTCAAGAGCCATAACTACCTAGCATGTTTTCTACAGGGTCTTAAGGAGTTCTTTATTGTATAGTCAGTTGTGAGAGCTTCAGATATGATTACTCTGCATCTCTCGATACTTGTGTTTCTTTCATAAAACACATGACGACTGAGAATGCTCTCACCAAAAGTCATTTTCCATCCTCATTTCAGTACCAAAGAAAAAAAATCTACCTTCATTCCATTGTTTTTCTTTACATTGTGCTCTGTATTAGATTACTGCAAGCCCACATTTCTCCCTTTGAAAGCAGCATGTTTGTACAAGTGTATGAGAGCCTGCAAGATGTTTCTGTCAGTAGAAACAAACTGCAGAGGAAACTTGCATAGGAGGGCTAGCTCATTAGGTGAGTAGTGAATGTTAGTAAAGAGTCTTCAATATTAGTTCCTTCTTTTAAATCAAGAATAATGACTCCTAGCCGGGCGCTGGTGACTCACATCTGCAATTCTAGCTACACAGGAGGCTGAGATATGAAGTTCATGATTTTTAACAAGCCTGGGCAGGACTCATCTCCAATAAACCACTAGAAAACCAGAAGTGGCGCTGTGTCTCAAGTAGTAGAGCACTAGCCTTGAGCTGAAGAGCTCAGTGACAGCACCCAGGCCCAGAGTTCAAGCCCAACAACCAACAAAACAACAACAACAACAAAAAAGAAAACAGAAATGAAAGAAAGGAAAGAAAGGAAGGCATAATGACTAAATAAATCCCCTGGCTCTATTCATTTTGATTGTAAAGTCTCTAATGTTGCAGGCCATCCTGCTGGCCAATGCATCTCCAGTGTCTCACTAGCTTCGCTGGGGATTGAAACTCTGGAGTGTGGGCTAACATGGTAACAGTTTCGAGGTCACATTTCTTGGTCATTTGACTAGGTCATTATGGCTCCATTTGCAGAAAAAGTGACTCCTGACTTAGACCCAAAGATGAATGAGAGGATGACTGGAACAAGACGATATATTGACTTCTCTATCTTTCTATTTTTTCTAGCTACTCTCTGGCCTTAACCTCTGTATAAAGATACTACCAGATGGCGTGGCCAATAATAGCAGATCAATGACCTAGTGAAAAAGTGAGGGGAGCCACCTAAGTTCCAGAAAGATCTCCACCTATGCCGAGAAAAGTCATGACAACTCCTCCTTTCATTAGCCTTCATTTTGTCTATTCTCTCTTCATGACTCACCAACCTGCGCAGTGGAGAGGCTGATTTCTCAGTAGGGGTCACACTAGTGCATTCCTTGGCCAGTCAAGAGATTTTGTTCTTGCTGATGTGGTGGTGCAAGTCAGTATTCCTAGCAACTTGAGAAGCAGAGGGAGGAGAGAAGGTATAAAACCCAGGAAAATCACTAAATGGACTATGGTCAAAAACAATAGCAACATCAACAAAAAAGGACATACTGTCTGAAAATACTAGGGCTAGTGCCCGAGAGGTTGAGCTCTCGCCCGGCTATCACACACCACATACCATCACACACCAAAACATTTTACTCATTCTCCCACCTAAGTCATTGGCAGGAACCTGCAGAATCTAACGGTTTTCTTGGCTTTATTCCTTGGATCTTGCTAGTACCAAACTGACCTAACCCAGGTTCACCTCCTCAGCTTATGCTGGCAGAGAAATTCAAAAGCAGATGTTATACAATCCAATGTACATCACCGGGACCACAGTGTTGCCATCAAAGCCAGCTAGGAGATGCTGAAACAGTCACTGCACATCGTCCAAGTAGATGAAATTAAGGAAAAGGTCCAAAAAGAACCAAAATGTGAAATATATGGAGTAGTACATCAGAAAGCAGTAAGTATGTTCTTAAAAGACTAAACATATAGATACCCTAAGACCCAGCAATCCCACTTCTTGGCATTTAACCAATAGAATACAACGCCACACCAATGATACAGGCACTACCATCTTCACCGCAACATTGTTTGTCATAGTCAAGATGTGGAATCATGTGCCAATCAGGGGATGAACAATTCAGAAAATGTGATATATATATCTATATATCTATATATATATCTATATATATTTATCTGCTATGCAGATATAGGTGCTTAACTATTTGTTTGGCAAATCTTAAAACTCAACTTTGCAACAAATTCACAAGTCAAATTCATAGATACTGTTCTATTGATACAAAAATCTGTAATCTAGGTGAACCTCCATGAAATATTATCAGACCCTCACATTAACCCAAACTTGAACAAAAATCATCTTTTTTTTCTGTTTTTCTTTGTCAGACCTAGGACTGGAACTCAGGGTATTGTCTGCTTTACCACTTAAGACATTGCCCCAGTTCTCACTTTTTGGAGTAGTTTATTGGAGATAAGAGTCTTACAGATTTTCTGCCTGGGCTGGCTTTGAACCTTGATCCTTAGATAGCAGCCTCTTCCCTAGTTAGTATTATAGGCCTAAGTCATCTGCAACTGGCTACAAAATCGTTTATCATTAAAGGAGTCACTGGCATGAACTCATAGGCATTGTATAGACATGATAGGAAGAAAAGTACAAAAGATATTTAGAAATAGAGATGTATGATACACTGCTGCAGAGACCATCAAATATGTACCCTGAAGCCATATTGCTATGAAAAGTGTATTTAGCTGTCCCTGCAGCACTTCAGGACTCTAGATAATGAGAGAACCACTAGTCCAGCTAATGTGCAAGACACAAACTCTCACCTCTTTGTCCTACTTGGCACTGGTTCCATGAGTCTCAGAGCAAAGCAAGAAATCTGTCAGGGATCATTCTCAGGACTGACAACTGGGGTTGCTGAAAATCGTCATCACAGTTCTATGGGATCCTTGTGCAGATTTTGTGTCAAAGTGAGAGAATGTCTTCACTTGAAGTGTTCACTGCACAGATCCCTCACTGTAGTCAAGCTTTTAAGAGCCATTAGTGCCTTGTGTTTTTTTTTATTGGGTTTTTAGATCTTTTTTGAAGTTTTAGCCATGACAGCATCACATATGCTAACTCTGCAAATCTATGTCATTTGACTATCTTTCATGAAATACTTGACAACTGAGAATGTTCTGACAAAATTTTCATTTTCCATCTTCATCTTGTTCTCCAATAACAAATGGTTTCTTTATGCCATTTTCTTTCTTTACAATGTGCTCTGTTTTACATTATTGCATTTCTGGCATTGAAATTAGCATGTTTTTAATAGTTTATGGTGTACTAAAAATATTTCAAACCATAGAGAAAATTCACATAGGAGGGAGAAGATGAAGAGTTCGTAAGTAATGAGTCTTGAGAAATTGTTCCATTTTTTTCTATCAATAATGACTAAATAAATCTCCTGGCTTCATTCATTTTGGTTAAAAGTCTCTAATTCTGGAGGCCATGCATCCCCTGCGTCTCACTGACTTCGTTGTGGACTGCAACTCTGGGATGTGGGCTAACATGGTAACAGTTTCTAGATCATTTTTCATGGTCTATTTGCTTAGGCTATTACAGCTCCTTTTGCAGACAAAAGTGACTGACTCCTCAGTTAGACCTGAAGATGAATGAGAGGATGACTGGAACAAGATGACATACTGACTTCTCTATCTTCCTATTTTTTTTCTGTCTACTTTGTGGCCTTAACCTTTGCTATGAAGACACCTACCAGATATTATGGCCAATAATACCTGATCGGTAACCTAGTGAAAAAGTAAGCCACCTAAGCTCCAGAAAGATCTTCACCTATGCCCAGAAAAGTCAAATACAAATACAAAATTATCATATTTGAAATAGCAGATAAAATACAATCATAAAATTTTGTGATTTTCCAATAACCATTAGGCCAAGTGAATTTTCATAGTGGTCTCTCATCCATTCATGATGAATGGATGTCTGTTTTTGAAGTGTT